GCTGCTGTAGCACTCGAATTTCCCGCATGGGATTAATAAAGTACCTATCTAATTACAATAAGGGTTTGGGATGCAAAGGAGCAGACACAGAAACAATTAAAAAAGAGCCCTTCTAAAGAAGCAGGTTTCGAGGATAGATTTGTTCATTAAAAATGTATCTTTAAAGGAACATCTATCTCTTTATAAAACCAAGTTAGAATGTGCTTAGCTTGTGATTCTTTTACCCCTGTTCTGAGTAGCAGTATCCATAAATATACATAAATAAAACCATTTGAATGGTTCTGTTTCAGTGTGGTGTTGAATGTGAGAGATCTATACTGGTTGCGATTGAGGAGCAGCTTTCACTTAACGTTGTTAAGTTGAAGCGTTTTGGACCTGCTGGAGCAAACCGACCTTTCCGGCCCAAACAAACGGGAACACAGGCAGAATATCACAGAAACTGGCACCGGGGTGCAGGAGCGAGTCCAGTACATGTCTGTCATTGATCCCCCATGAGGCGCTGAGCCCGAGTGTACAGTTACACACAGACCCTCACTCCCTCACGACAGTCTGAAGGGCTAAAGGCGCAACTTTCTCACCCTGTGTAGTTTTTCTGCTGTAGTCCAGACGTCCGAGGCCAACCCACGACTGCCCAGCCTAGAAGGTGGGGGGGGCATTGTGCTCTGTCCCATGGGGAGCGCTGGTCACAGTGAGATATTGATGACCGAGGACAGTGTCGTATCCAATTCAATATCCCCTGCGAATCTATTTCTGTATCCCCCTCTGAGATGCGCACAATCCATTATCTTTGGGACGCCTGATTCCTCTCATTATCAACATATAAAATTATTAATATATAACACATAAGGACTGATAGTTCCAGTAGGCAGCTGGGTCAGCGTGCGTAGGCTGAACAGGAACAAGAAAACTTTTAACCCATTCTTAAAGGAGAAGAAAGAAAATTGGTTTCGCCGGTTGTGGAGCCTTCTTCAGGCGTTTCTTTCTTCTGACACCTCAAGAAGGCCCCAGAGCGGAAACGTTGCGTTTCCTGTCTTCACTTGCTTCATAAGGACAAATGTTGCACATTTGTCGAGTTCCCCTGTCTTGTGGGAGCCCTCCTTTTTGGGTGGGGATTTTTCTTATGTTTTTTTACCTGCTAGGGATTAGAGTAACATATTGAATACACAGAGAAACCAATATAAGCCCAGATGGACAACTGGCTCGTCTTCCATCCAGATCGTGATAAGCAAAGGCATTTAGGATCCTGGAGGTTCCGTGGAGGCTGTGCGCAGTAGGGAGGGGGGATACACCTGTCCAGGGGATACTGACCTGCTGCTGTCTGACGGCCAGGGTCCAGCCTGCGCTCTGCTTCAGGGCCTGAACTGGCTGAACTACACAAAACCCTCGAGAATTTGTGTTAAATGATTGTCTGTGTGTTCCAGAGTGTGTCTCATCCAGTAAACTCAGAACTCAGGAAGGCGACATTCTTCTGAAAAAACAGACGTTCTCCTGTCCTGACTCGCCACAAAATAAGAAACAGGAGGATGAGGATGCGTTGGCACACAAACTTTAATGAGCTTAACGGCTGCCATCATGTTTACCACTTACAGGCACATGGCATTTCCTGCAGAATTTGAGGATAATCAGTCTTGTGTACAAGTAATGGAGTTTTTAAATCGAAGTTCAGGAGGAATGGAGGCAGCCGGGCTCATTCAACACAGCCCAATAAACTATTATAATTTCTCCCAACCTTCCAGCTGCTGTCATTCCTCGTGAAACAGGCTGAAGGCGGAAATGTGTTAAAATACCTCAGTCTGCAGAGACAGTTACGTTTTTTGTTTGTAAATTACAGAGATCTGCATGGAATACTGACAGAAGACATGATGGATGGATTAATACCTTTATTCATTTCTTTTTTAATTGTATAATGTTAGCATGCCCAAAGGGGTTGGGCAGCCAGTTGACCTTGGACCCCCTAGAGGTTTTTGGTTCCTCCCCTCCGTTGTCTTCTGGTCTTTTCTGTTCTGTATTCATAACATGTATGGTCACTTACATTGTTAAGCGCCCCGGGGAACCCTTGTTGTGAAAGGCGCTCTATAAAAATAAACTGAATTGAATTGAATTTTTATCATTACTGCCGCCTGCTTTTTGTTTTTTTTATAAGCCTGCTGTTCCGGATGGGAGAAATAAAAGTATAAATGGAAAAGTAAGGCTTTGCTTCCATCTCCTGGGTCTCATTCCACCTGAATTTGTTTTCCTCGAGCTATTATTGTGATAAGAAGCCCAGGTGGGGTTTTAGGTCCTGACCAATCATCATCTGGATAGCTGTAAAACGTGCAGCGGACCAAAGCCCAAGGAACTGGAGCTACCTCTAGTGAGCTTTTTTAGCTTTGTATTTTTGTATAATGGTGCTACTCCAGACACTGATGGCTCCAGAAACTGAAAGTCTGCCTCCAAAGAATTGGGAGTGTGATGGCTTTTCAATCTTTTTCTTTGGGCAGCTATGCGACGAGATGGAGCCGTGCTTGTAGAAACTCCGATCCAGGTCCAGCGCTCGCCCCTGGACACGGATCCCATACATGCATCCCCGGAAGTAGCTCTGATCCGCAGGGCCATTGGTGTCAGAACCGTCTGTGGGAAAAGAAACACAAACAGGAAGGGAACGGAAGTCACAGTGTCAAGCTCTACTCTTTAAGATTCAGTTATCTGACATTGGACCATGACAAGGGGTGGCATGGCAGTTAGCACTTCTGCTTCACAGATCCAGGGCTGTGGGTCTGACATGGGACCTGTCCGTGTGGAGTCTGCATGCTCTACTTCCAATGCTTTCATTTTCTGCATCCTCATAACGACATGCTGGTCAGGCTTTATTGGCTATTCTGAACTGCTCCTCTTTCCATAGTCCTGCACAGGACTGGAATCCCAAGCAACAACAACATACTGTACATAATCTCCCTCAATCACCATAAAAGTTAGAGAAGCGGTTTGGGAGCAGTATATCTAGAATGAACCTTTTGATCCTTCATAAAGATTTCCACATATGGAACAGTGGTACGTCTTACTCAGCCTAGTGCCACAAGTGATTTGTGAATACAACAGGTGTTTGTGTGGTGTTCACGTGACAGAAAAACGCTTCACACAAAACTCCTGCAGTGCCAAGGACACCCTGTCTGACTCATTCTCAGCGGCCGGTGGACTACTGGGCGAGGAGGTCCTGGTCACACTCTGTTAGCTAGCCCAGACTCAAATCAGCAGTTCCATGAGTTAGCCTACATTCGATGTTGTTGATTAAAAAAATACAGGACCACCTGTGTCTGACAGTTCCCTCATCAGGCAGCCTGGGAGAGTCCTTGCTCAACAGGGCTGGGAGGAGTCAACTCACCTGGCGTTCCACCAAAGGAGAGCAGGGCCCCTTTCTCCCAGGCCTCCAACATCTCCTCCATGTCTTCTAGCACTGCGGGGGGTCTGTCCGGCCCAGTCCTGATCTGGGCCTCCTTTTCTGATATGACAACCACCAGGTTGTCCTCAGGGTCCGGAGGTAAACACATGTGCACTGACAAGGTACTCGTGAACACCACCAGCTGCGCGGACTGAGGAATAGGAGGCGAAAGAAAGATGGATCTGAGGATCCTTGGAAACTGGTATGCAAGTCAATGTCATATTACCTGTAGGGTTTAAGCTGAAGCCAGCAGCCTGGATGCACAGAACATATTATACCTTATCTGACCAAGTAGAAGGAAAGGCAGTTTTGGAGCATGAAGGAGACAGCTGGAGAAAGGCACGGCAGCAGCACTGCTTCAGACTGTTAAAAACCGCATTATCAAGGACCTTGGTATCGGAAAAGGAAAGATGTAGGAGAAGACGACATTCTGCACACGCAATGCCACTCCAAAAAGTGATAAGATGAGGCAAGTGTGTTGAGTCGTGAGTGAAACAGAGGAGAGACCGGAGAGGCGCACCAGTTCGTTACAGTCTTTGGACACGTCCAGAGACAGGGACAGCAGCAATCGGTGATCCCGGGTCTGTACAGCCAGCACAGTGCCACTCCACCTCTCCGGACGCAGGCTCACCTCCACAGTCAAGGTCCTGTTCTCCGGGCTTAGGGGGAAGTCTACCTTGGAAAATAGGGAGTGAGCCAGTCTGGGGGGAGCGGTGCATCTTGTCAGCATTCCCAATCCCAGCACCACTTATAGCCCAGCTGGGACAATACATGGGGAGGTGAGAGCATCTTGCACTCATGCACAGGTGCAGGAAAAGACTACACAGGCTACACAGATGGGATAGTGGGTAGACAAGTGGAAGTGTGAAAAACTTGGCACTTAGGGAGATGCAGAGAATGGCCACACGGGTCTCTTTCTGGAGGGGCTGGGGTGGTTGGGAATACAAGACGATCTTTCCAGTGACGTCACTCCCCCCAGAACTCTCAAAAGCATCTGGGTTTTGTTTAAATATAGGGGGCTTAGCTGCTGTACACAGGCTTTGCCACCTGTTAAGTTAAATTTGCTCCAAGACAGTTCTTTGCACATTGTCCCCCATGTGTTTTTTTCTTTTTACGTTTGAAAAGTGCTCAGCTATAACACCGTTCAGTGTGAGCTAGCTTCCAGCTGGGGCGTTTTGCTAATCGAATGCAGCCGGGCTGAAGAAGTTCAAGAAGGGAGCTGCATCAGCGTGCGCAGGCTGCAAAAGAACAAGTAAGGGTTTATTCCCTGCTGAAAAGAAAAGAAAAGAGACACAATGTTTCAGCTCTGGAGCCGTCTTCGGGTGTTCAGGCTCCACAGCCAAAAACGTTGTGTCTCTTTTCTTTTCAGCATGGAATAAATCCTTAATTGTTCCTCCGGTAGTGCGGGCTACTGCTCAGCTCAGCAGCGCCCCCCGCAGTTTGCTGGATGGAATGGCAGGGCTTCTCACCTGTGCTCTGGAACAACGCGAGACCCGTGCCTAGGAAATAGCTGCCCTGGATCAGGTTGGCGAAGCAGGGCTTGGGCTCCGTGCGAAGGGTCGACACCCACGGGGTGCTCAGATTCAGCCAGGTCCCCCCGCGTATGCATCCATCCATCTCCGGGCGCAGCTGGAAACACAGGCAGACAAACCGCGAGATGGAGGATCAGTCTGAGCAGCTTCACAAGCAGCACTCCACTGGTCACGGAGGAACATCCCATTCACTGCTGTGGGATAAACACAAGGGGCTTTATTCTAGAACCAAAGTATATACTTCGTTCTTTCTTTCTTTCTCTGTTCTGTCTTCCCTCGTAAAACCAGAGTGACACTCTTGGACGGAGGATTATTGTAAATGAAAACCTGTTCAAATAATTCTTGTCATGTCATGACATTTACCAAACTGCTTTACATCCGTTGGTGTCGCAGAAGCCGGAGCCTACCCGGCAAGCAACGAGCGCAAGGCAGGGTACACCCTGGATGGGACGCCAGTCCATCGCAGGCTGAGTGCCAGCCAGTCATACATGGGGACAATCCTGGGGCCATGTTAAAGGCCGAGGGGGAAAATTTGGCCCGGACACCTGGATAACTCCCTTCTCTCATCGAGAAATGCCCGGGGATCTTTAATGACCACTGAGAGTCAGGACCCTGGTTTAACGTCTCATCTGAAAGACAGCGCCCACTACAGTATAGTGTCCCCGCCACTATACTGGGGCATTAGGACCTGCACAGATCGCAGGGTGAGAGCCCCCCGCTGGTCCCACTAACACCACTTCCAGCAGCAACCTTACTTTTTCCCAGAAGGCCTCCATCCAGGTACTGGCCAGGCTCACACCTACTGAGCTTCAGTGGGGCTGCCAGTTGAGAGCTGCAGGCTTATAGAGCTGCTGGGCTAATTCTTGTCTTATATGATTAAAAGGATTAACAGTACGCATGGGTGCTTTTTCTCAAAAAAACAACAACAACCAACAGACGTCTTGAGTGACTGACTGTAGGGAAGAGCAGGGAACTGTCGACGAGAATCCCCCCCAGCGCCAGGCGGATCTGGCCCAGCAGCTCGGAGTCGTCCACAGAGTGCAGCCCCACGGTCAGCACGGCCACCCTGTCCACCTCCAGGACCACAAACTGATTCTCGCTGCGCAGCTGCACCTGAGAGAGCGGGGGGGGGCACAGAGGGGGAACCCAGAGGGAGAGTTAGGGCATAAAAGGGACAAAGGGGAGGTGAAGATCTTCACAGATGTGGCGTCACCCAATCAGATGCCTCCTAGCCACCATCATGTCTTTGGATTAAAGGGAAAATCCGGGGCTACTTTGATAGTTGGGGTTAGAAAGTAAATTTACAATGAAAGTAAAATGTACACAGTAACGTGTAAAACTTCCATTTACATCACAAAACAGACAAAATCTCCAGGTATGTGCAGTGCTGTGTTGCTGTCATTGCCTGTGATTCAGGTGACAAAACTTCCAGTGAGGTGAAGCGGCACTATGACGTTGTGGATACACCTCTTGACATCGAGACTAGTGTTTGCTGGCAAAACTCTTACTTGTTAGCTCTGCATGCAGATAACGTTGGAACATGTCTGCGATGAAATATCTGCTGTGCAGTCTTTACTTATTAGCTCATACCTCACATCACATGAGTCACTTTACAGTGACTAGTGAGCAGGAAGGGCCGCTTCACCTCGCAGTTCATGTGAACTCTCTACAACATGGAGACCACACAGTACGTTTACAAGGCTAGCGATTTTGTGTTTAATGCAGAATGAGTACAAATTTTGTGTGACCATCAGCTGATTTATTTTATTACCGAGATGTAATGAACGGTCTGAGAAACCGGGGCTGCAGTTCCCCTTTAACTCAGACTGTCCCCCAAATCTCGACACGATCTCTACGGGGAGAAGGACGGGGGCCCCCGTCCCCTGTCCCCCGGCCCTTACCTGGTGCCAGCGGCCGTCGTCGAGGCGTGGCCCCCCCGACACCGAGACCCGGGAGCTGGACTTGCCGATCTGCATCTCGGGGATGCCCCCCCGCAGCGCGAGCACGAACCAGTCTTCCCCAGCCTTCGTGTCGCCGTAAAACACCACGCCCTCCGAGTCCAAGGTGCGGAACTGGAAGGAGGATTTTATGCTGCGTGCAAGAGGGGAGGGGGAGGGGGACAGAATCGAAGACCAGGCCTGCTCAGCATGCAGCGCTTCTGAGCCCCAGGGTTAACAGGCAGATTCAAACAGCCAGCAGTGTTCAATGGAGTGAGGACTCCCCTGTCATGCTCGACCCAGGCACTCAGATCTCCACCCAGAGACACAAGCCTTCGCACCAGCCTGCTGCCCAGGTGTAACAGGTCAAAGGCACTGATGTTAAAGGGGAACTGCAACTCCCCTTAGAGAGAATCAGCATTGATGAGCGCATTTCAAAGCTCAATAACAGTAAAATGGACACAGTAGCTTGTCTAACCTCCAGTTTACATCACAAAAATACAGTAGATTAGATTTCCAGGTCTGCGCAGTGCCATGTTCTGTAATTCAGAAAGAGGCAACAAAACATCTGGTGAGGTGAAGCGGCCCTGTGACATTGTAAGCAAGCAGGTTTGTGAATACATCTCTTTTAATCCAGTAGAAATATTGCTCTCCATTTTGAGATGGTTTTGCCAACACATACTACTTGCTTGTTAACTCTGCTTGCAGATAACATTGGAACATTTCTAATGTGAAATGTCTGCTGCACAACCAGTATTTATTCACTAGTACATTTCATTCCTCATTACAGTGACTACTGAGCAGGAAGGGCTGCTTCATGTCACAAAGTTCACGATTAATTTGGAACTTTGTAGTTTGTGCTTAATTTGAAATTTGTCATTTTTTTCTATAAAGTCAATAAATGTATTTTATTACTGAGATGTAATAACCGGTCTGGTAAATTGGGACTGCCGCTCCCCTTGCTCAATGCTCATTGCATGGCTTGAGCATGAAGGGCGGCTAAGTCATAGAACTGAGTGAATAATTAGTTCAGCTTAACAGCTGAGGAGGTGTGAGTCCCAGACAACTCTGGAGTGTGGAGGACCCCCACCTCAAAAAAGTACCTGTCTCATGTACAGTACTGAACTTGTAAATGTCTTTTAAAATGTGGTTTACACCAACAGTTCCTGTGAGCCACCCAAGTAGTAACAGACCCAGCCCTGCAGGAGGTGCTCTGGAGCCTCTGCGTTTTGCTCCCATCTGCACGTTAATTAACTGCCTTGAATTAACTGCCAAGACAATAGTTTCTGTCTTGCATGTTTTAATCAGTTGCAAAGTACAAGAAACATATTAAACCTACACTAGTGTGCCCTCTATTGGTCATATCTGACACCTTGTATTTAGTGGGCAATAATGATACCAGCTGTTACCTGGTGACATCGGAGAGGTTGGCTGTCATGGTGGTGAAGGGCTCTGTTGTGCCCCACTGCTGCCCAAGGTTTAGGATATCATCTCCAGTTAGGTAGTCCTGATGTGCACAAGGGAGATTGCTTTTAATTTCAATAATTCCCCGACCTGATAATTCCCTCTGTCTCGCTCCCCCAGTTCAGAACAGCAAGCACTGACCCAGCAAAACCTCTTGTCACAGAAAGTGACTCCAGCACATCTCTCATGAAATGGCCAGATGAGATCCTAGCAGGCACCCAGCGCACAAGTGGGATCTCTTCCTATTTGTAATCGTCCGTGCTTGCACCTTGTAGAGTGTAATTTCTTTATGATAAGAAATCAGGCAGACAATATCTGCCCTGTTGTTTATGACTGTGGCCACTTTCATTGAATCTGATATCCCAGGACTGCTGGACATTAGAATATGTATTCTATTGGTACTTCGAGTATTACAATACCATATGTGCCTTGTTACATTCTGTGGTTAAATACACATTGTCTTTGCCTTGACATTTAGAGTGTTGCAAGAGATTGGTCAGGCTGCACTAGGATTAGAAAGGACATTGAAAATACTTGCAGTTTGGTTCTGTAGTGCTCACCATAAGGACCTGTCTGTTAAATACACTCAAAAGGTCGCCAAACTGTGCTGTGACTTCTCAAAGTGCTATATAACCGAGACATCGTACGCTTGGTGAAGGTCTCATCCAGCTCTTTCTTGAAGGATCTCCAGGAATCAGCTTTAACGACATGACTGGCCAACTTGCTCCATGCACCTGCCACCCTTCCTGCCTGTTCTCAGTCCAGAACCTTTTCTTTGTTTTCTTCTCATTTCTTGACTCCTCAAATCCGCTGTCAGATTCACTCTCATGTGTTCTGGGATCCTAGTCAGAAGATTTGCGGATGTAGCCTCAAAAACCGAACTTTAGCAAACAATTATATGTTCTTACAAAGAGGCTTAAACTAACACGTCTTAATACTTCGTAGCGGTACTAGCGCTACTTTCAACTGCACAAAGCGGCACAAACGCAGCGCTAGCGACTGAGGGGGGTTTCATCGTTTGTGCTGTTTGTAGGGGTGCAACGTCACGGAGCTGAGGAAGCTCGTCTTCCAAGCTTCTCCGCGCAAAACGGAACCGGAATCGGGAAGATTTCCAGCTGAATGAGAGCTCCCAGCAGGAATGTTCCCTGGAAAGAACACCACCATTTCCTAATTGACTAATTGCTTTATTGGGGCTTCCAAGAAGAAGACAATCCTCAAAAAACAGCGAACTGTATAGCAAAGGCGAAGGCCAAACCTGAGCTGTTCAGCTGCTCGGATAAAAAGCTTAGCCGAAGTGGCGTTTATGAGAGATGTGCACAGGCTTGCGGAGACCAGAAAGGACCACTTCACTCAGATAAGCGCGAGTGGCTTTATAACTGCCCACCACGGTTCCGTGGGGACATCTGTCTTCTTCCCTTCCACGAGGGGCGTAATTTCGCTGCCATTTTCGTCTTCCCTCTAAAACCATCTCCGCGGCTAACAAGTCCGCGGTGACCGACAGTTCGCCGCTGCGCTCCAGCGGGCGGTGGCTAAACCACAGAGCTAGTGCCCGGTTCTCCCCTCGACGCGCAGAGAGGCACCTTTCCCCCGCCTCCCGTCCTTGGGTACGGCCCGCGGGGGTGATGTCTGCCCCGGGCCGCGGCGCTTACCTCCGCGTCGCCGCCTTCTCCGTGATTCTCCTCGGAGCTCCTGCACCGCACCACCGCCAAGCTGGCTATCAGCACCAGAGCGCCAATCCTTCGCATGCTGACAGCACCAACACCCAGAATAAGAAAGAAGATTTCGCCAAAACGGCTCTTCGACGCCCCCCTCTCCCGTGGCGACTCCCGGGCAGCTCTCTGTGCTGGGACTGTCGGAAGGGAGCAGAGGCGGGCGAGCTCTGGTGTTTACCTGGAACAAACAGCTCTCCGCTCTGCCCCCGGGATGTATCGATCGCTCCTGGGGCTCTGGTTTGGGGGGGCACACGCGTGCTCACCTTCACCCCTGTATAACCCTGTAGCCACCGACGAGCACACACCCAATATGCGATAACGCAGTATAAATACAGGGGCATAAATTCTTGATTTCTACTATATGATATTTATATTTCATGATATAAATATGATCATACTTACTTGATCTACCTGTCCTTAATAACATAAGATAAGATCCTTGAGCGTCATGGCTTTTTTTTTCACCCCTTTAAGACAGCGCTTCTGCTGCGGTTGGGACTGACGTCATGAGATAAGCGCTGCAGATGAATGCTATGAAAGGCGCTATATAATTTCAACCCTGTGAAACAGTTCCTGGAATCCTCTCCGGTTTTGTCACACGCCGGCCCAGGAATTTGTCTCCTGCTTTATCTGCAGAAAGGGCGGGACTGGAACACAGGCAGGGTTGTTAAAGTTCTCAGAAAACAGAACAGAAACGCGCTGAACAAAACGAATTGCTCCCGGGGTTCACGGCTTTAATGTTCCTGCGTTGTTCAGCTGCACCGTGTCATCTTTCTGAACGCTCTTAAATGCGCGTTTTCATATTTGGTGCATCGTTACTGAAGAACTCAGGACCGCCTCTTACCGGTGGAGTGGTGGTGATTGGGGGAGGGGGGGTCATACTTCGGGGGCTGCTCTCCAGTTTCCCCCCATTAAACCTCTGTTACCGTCTCAAGATTCTACATCTCCCCCTGGCGCTCACGCACCCCCCCTGCCTGCTCCCCAGG